TAAAGGTCTATGTCGCCTTGGTGTTTGTTTTGTTTAGCATTTTAATCAATAATTTGCTTACATATCATTCCCACGTAGACTTTTAGACGAATAGGTCCAGCGACACAATGAAACCTTAGATCGCATTACACATTAATCCAATAGTAAAAATTTAAAATTAAATACATTGATGGTATATCACATCTACTCTCGCGATTCTGATTCTCTAACAAAAATTAAAATGGCAGAGAACACAATCGAATTTGTTAATGTGGTCTTTAATCGCGGTTTCAAAGTCAAGTCTGATTCAAGATTATGCGTGCACGTAATATATAAGGGAATCTATAGCGATCTTCTCAGCAATCTTGGCAACTCAAGCTGAGTAGCGATTAATTAAATGTCTAGTAGTGGCACTATTATCGTACGTGGTAAAGATCTCTCTTTATGAGCGGATAAGATATGTTTTCAACAAACGAATGCAGAGAAACGTATTAGGCACATTGCAAGTCGTACACTAAATGATATTTATATGAAAGAAGTTAGATCAGAAGTACGATCACATAATTGATGCTTGATATGGACAAGATTATTCTCTGCTAGGACTATAAAGACTTAATGCAAATCGTTACCATTCAATATCACGATCAGCCCAAATAGATATCGAGTAACAGTTAAAATTTATATATATATATATATATATATATATATAGGTATATAATCCTTCATCCTATAACTCATGTAAATTGTCTGAAACGTTTACGGCTAACATGTTTTTTAACTAATTGTGCCAAACGACGCTGTCGTCTGATTGATGCAACAATTTTCGCATAGTTAACAATAATTATTCGTATAATTTTGTTATTATTAATGTAACAAAAATACGATTAAAGAAAGAACCAGAAGATGTGTCTGAAACACATAACATACCTGGCGAGAGAGAGAGAGAGAGAGAGAGAGAGAGAGAGAGAGAGAGAGAGGTAAAATGCAGGAAACTTTAAAAGTATTTCGCAACTATTGTTGTTGTTGTTGTTGTAGTAGCATATTCATAATCATCATCCGTCTTCATTATCGTCCACATCGTTGCAAACTAACCTTCTTTACCATTAAAAGGAATTACAGTAAGTAGTCAGGTAAAACAAGTTTGCATTTATGCTTTATTTAATTTTTTTTTTTCTTGTATTAAACAAAAAACAGGACAGGATGTAGAACTTTGGTATTAATTAAACAGAGATTTAATTATATAAGGAAGAGAAAATATGTAGAATATGAATGCGCAACATGTGCTGGTTTTTTTCTTTTTTACTTATTTTTTTTTTTCTTTTGTTTCCTAATGGAAAACAACAACTGCAGCTTAGAAGCATAGCTATTTTAATAATATATGACTCACTTATAACTTTGTCTCTTAACTTTAGTTTAATTACAATAATCCAATTTCAGTTTTATTAACAATTTCTAGTTCTGCAGTGTTGAAGAATACAAAATAAAAGCTAAATTTAAATAAAAAAAATTAAAAAAAAAAAAAAATTAATATATTTTTGACTCTCTCGGAACGGACGGACAATAAACCAATTTGCTTGAAACCGAAGATCAGTTGCTTTGAGTACTTTTTTGATATAACTAACATAAGGTGTCGCATAAAAACATTAAAAGAGTTTTTACGGTTTTTTTATTACACTTTTTTTTTTTTATTATTAATATTATTCACAATGAATTTTACTTAAGTACATAATGGCCATTTAAATCTATGATCTTTTGCCATTTTTGCGGTAAAAGCATTATACCATTACTGTACACTTTTTGGGAACTTTTAGGCGGAAAAGTTCACCGATCGAGTTTTACCCTTCAATTTGCTTTGCAAGTAGCTTTAAGCAGTGAACGAAACAAATGCTAATCGGATTGCTCGGGCCAAGTCCGAGCTATACAACCGATGCACATGAAAACTTCCAGCTAACCGTTTTTAATTTTCGCCGAATCGTTAAAGATATAAATGGTTTCGCATGGTCACAATTGGCGAGAGCTCCCTTTTAACTGATAAATTTTGCGTAGGTCTTTTTGGATCGTTAACCGGATTTTCGTCAATTGCTGTTGGAATTTTGTTTGGGCACCTGCGTTGAACACTTTACCCCACCACTACTTCTAAAGTGACAAATAGTAGATATGGGTCTCTTTCCTCGAAACCCTTACCAGCGAGGTCTAACTAATATGCCATTATTTGATCAGCCCATGTCTTCGGGATTAACCACAGCCATCACCATACTCCCCGAAGGCGCGTAACCAGCAAACAGGCAAGGGGGCTTTCTCAATATTCTGATTAGAAGTTCATCATACACAGATAGTCAAAGAAACCTAATCTGTTTCTGTGTATCATTGGGACTTTTATGTTCACTTAGCGTCATTTAGTAGCATAGTTTCCTTTGCCAGAAACTCCAATCAATCCTTTCGCCAACTTCTAGAATATAATGATATACGATGTCCCTCTAAACCTTTCTCTCTCTCTCTTTCTCTTTCTCTCTTTCTCTCTCTCTCTCTCTCTCTCTCTCTCTCTCTCTCTCTCTCTCTCT